AAAGAAGTCAAAGGTACATTAAAAAGAGAGGGGGTACATGGTACTCTGCCTACATTTTTATTGCCTTAGCATTAAGACGCTCCTTTTGGCGAAAACCCAGCGGTGGCTTTCGTTTGTCAGCGCGGTGGAGAGAAGGAGAAAGAGGTGGAGAGAGAGACGCGTGCAACGCTCACTCTAGTCCGAAGCACTGACGTCTGCACGCGTCAACCTCTTCCTCTATCCCCGTCGCAAACTGACACATCGCCGCCTGAGTAACACACTTCCTCGGCCTAGGCTTGGACCAGACTGGCGCCAGCAAGAGCCAACTTGGCTCACGCCTGGTCCAAGCTTGCGCCACACTGGCCCAAGTATGATCCAGGGAAGTGTGGTGCAAGGGCGGGTTTTCGTCAAAGCGAGCCCTTTCGCTCTCGTGAGTCATGCGCACAGCTGGCGCAGAGCCAGAGAGGAGGAGGCGCCGTGCAAGACCTAATAAAATAACAAAGCCGTAGAGCTGAATGATGTGGCGTCTTCAGAGAATGCCAACGCTGGACACAAATTGGAAACGAGTGCTGCGTGAGAACTCGGCTTCGAGTCAAGTTTGAGCTGAACCTTGACGCAATCGTCGTGGCCAATCTGTGCCCAGCATTGGCCTTCTCTGATGATGCAACCTCATTCAGCACTACGGCTTTTGTTATCTAGGACTTCTTCCGCCGCGGGCCGGTGGAACGCGGGCGTGTTCAGTTGCCGCTCTGCCGTCGCCGGTTGTTCTTCGCTCTGGGTTTCCATTGTAGCGGTAGGTGGGCAGTGATATGCGTGTGTTGTTAAAACGATGGATGCGCTTATCTTCATGAGTGGTATGGATGCGGTTCCTTCCACGAGTGATATGGATATGGTTATTTCCACAAATGATATGCATGACCGCATCCAAGGGCGTCGACGTACTTTGACAGGCAGAGTACAGAAAAGGAGTGAAAAATTTGCAGGAAGATTCATTGGTGGATTCTTAGGGAATGCGTTAGCATGAACCTTGTAAACGCCACATACGTCACCCTTTAGGAGACGCTAACACTGACCCCGTAAGGAGAACAGAAAGCGGCAGTAGGAAATGGAGAAAGCAAAACAAGAAGCCAAAAGAGAAAGCCAAAAAAAAAAGCGGAAAGAGAAAGTGAAGGGGTAAGAGTTAGCGTTTCGCAAAGGGGGAAGTGTGGGGCCTTTCCAAGGCCAATGCTAAGAATCCACCAATGAATCTTCCTGCATTTATTTGTCTTTCGTGTTTTAACGTTGGTTCGTTTAGTTTTTCTTTATGAGACTTATCTTCCGTTTCTATTACGGCTCTCATACAAAGTGTAGCTAAATTTAACGAGTCCTGTGTTAATGAAAACATGCTATACTTGAACGTAGATTCACTTCGCGGGATATTTAAAAATATAAATCGGTGGACGGGAACAAATTTAATGCGGTAACTTTTTAATTTGATCAGGCAAAATTAAGAGTGAATTCACATGGTGTAGAAAAGTCCGATTTAATCCTTTAGTAGCACAATTATCTATATTTACGAATACAACATATCTCTGTATCCTCAGTACCACCTCTCCAAAATTTGCATTGACCTTTGTTTTCATATTTTAGTAGGGGTGAGTGGGGAGGAATGGGACGGTCGGGGGAGTGAGACATTCACCATATTTCTCCAGTGAAGAGTTCTCAAAAGTTAATAAATCGCGAGATTGATGACGCCGTGGCAGCGGTATTTTCAACTGTAATGGCGTATATATGCGTGGCGGGGTGTACACGATTTCAGTGAGCGGTTGCCACTTCGGCATTCAAATGTAAATAGCACACATTCGTTTCGCTCGATTCTTGAGCCAAAGCGGTTTGGACAACTGCCGTAGAAAACGAACCTTGAAAAGACGCTTTAACAGGCTGATGTTAACCACCATTCTTTTAAGCTTAACAGATCACCTTTTGCCACATTTGGAAACTTACTGTGCGTAAGCGGCTCGAGAGGAATGGGACAGTGAGACGGTGGAAGGAATGGAACAGTGGTATGGTAAGAAGAATGGGACAGCGGATTATGGCTCCCTTTTTAAGGATTGGTGCTCTGACTGGCAGATCAACACTAATGTTAAGCTATAATAACGATGAATCATCCAATTTGAGTTCATACTGAATTTAGGCCACTAATTTTTTGTCTTAGGTAAAATGTGACTACGCTCTTAATCCCCTTTCCGAAACCCCAAACAATCGGAGGGAAAAGGACGCCTACAGTTGGTCTTCATGTCTGATGAAGGCCCTTCAACCTATGATATGCGCTAGTACAATTTTAGCGCAATCTTGCATTGTCCTGTTCTTCCCAGTGGGGAGAGGGGGGGGGGGGGTGGAATGAGGCAAATGGACGACATTTTTGTTCTCGCAATTTCCTTTTTTTCTACATTTCTAGGAGAGCTAGGACAGAGTGATGTTCAGCAGAAGCGAAGGTTCTTTCACGCTGCGTTTAGAACCACTAAACTTGTTTCTATGTGCCCTTCAAACTACACAAACAATTATAGTGTGAAAAGTGTACATTCTTCCTTACTCTACTACGCTATTTCTTATATTCGAGGTCACGAACCTATGATGGTGCACTTTTCGGAAATTAAAATTTAGTGTTCAGCGAACGCATCAAAGATATTTCGTTTAATGTTGCAATGAAAATTCAATGGCAGGTGAATTTTTTTACACGCTTTTCAATTAACTTTTTATGCCATGGGCTTGTATTTTATTACTAAAAATAAACTGCGGACATCCGTTTTGGGAATGACGGAAAACTACCAAATAAGCCAAAACATAGTCCATCTGGTGTCATTGCTCTCTTTTCAGGAGGTACTGCGTACTGCTTTACTCAGTAAACTTAAAATACTACGTTCTTCTCATGTGACTTTACTTAAGGCTCTGATTGGTTGGTTGTGAACATAGCTTGGTGTATAGAAAGGAGGCACGTTGAGTCGTGTTCACAGACGTTCTTGGACAACTGAACAAGTTTAAGCTGAGCTAGAAAAAGACGGGTAAGAAGTTTTTACTTTTATCATTCATTTCAAATCAAAACTGAATATATTTATTTTAAACTTTCAGCATAAACCATTGAACACGGGCAATCAGCTATACTATAGATTAACGAAAGCCTCAGGCTTTACTGCGGAAGCCGATTGCTTGGAGATGTGCTGAGTTAAAATGATTAAGTACATTCAAAATAATAATTTATGTTTACAAAGGGTTTTAGATGGCAGATTATATCTTTCTTTTCCGCTGTACTTTGGTTAATTGAATTCTCTCACAGACATATAATTCCCCTGATAATTAGTGCTGGAACAGTTTCTTGTATAATTTAATTTCTAAGGGGCAGGAGACTGGAACATAGTGTTTATTTGGGACAGCTGGTTTTAATTAAAGGTGTAAAAGCGCCCCAAATGCTCAAGAACCGGGAAGAGGGAAGACAAACACAAGGCGCACCCGCAACAAGGCGTTGCTAGTACACCTTGCGTTTGCCTTACCTCGTCTCGGTCTTTGTGTATTTTTGGCGCTTTTAAACCTGCGAAAGTATCTGCCAACCTGACGAAACTATGAAAGCAACGCTATAATACGTTGATTACCAGTCCTACAAGGATACATTCCGATATATTGATATGTACCCTACGCTGGAAGTAACTACGTTCTAAAGCAATTATTTATAAAAAATATTAACTTAATTTAATTGATTCAATTTATAAATCCTGGTTTAGTAGAGAGATGCGAGCCAATGGGCAGGATGTGTACAGTTAATTGCTGAGCCACAGATTTCATAAAAGTGCAGAAACATGCTTCTTGCTGAATGTTTGCAGCGAACGAAAACTCAAAGGAATCTTGCACATACCGATCGTTTTTCATAATGAAAAAAGTATAACAATAGTATTTTCTTTGCGAGTGTATTTTTTTTAAAAAGCTTCTTAAAACAAGCTGGGTTACCATTCTTGTTATCTAGGTAACTAGATAATTAACGCAATAATGATTGTTCTGGTAATACGCAAAAACGCACACGCTGCTAAATAAAAACATCAAAAGACGACGTGAACCTTGCGCTCTTTGCGCCTTCAGGAGACAATTATGAATTAACAGGTATCATGATATACCATAAATGTTTTATGCGCCATAGTTTACGGCAAGGATTTTTTCTGCAAAGCGTCCTTTTTCGTCGCATTCGTCACTTCACTGCCCCATAACTAACTCATACGCAGGTGGCCTTGAAAAGGCTTCATTTTGAGCTGAATTGTCTTGTGATTGTCTACAGGTAAAATGGCTGCATTAACACGTAACCCATAAAAAAAGCGAGGTGTTCTCATTAGAAGTAGTGTGCTTATATATAAAAGAGTCCTTCAACTTTCCTTGACCACTTTTGTGAAGTAGGGTTGAGCCGAGAGTGTTTAATATGTACAAACATGTGGTTGCTCGATAAGGTTATCAACCACAGCTACACATTAAATTGCCTTTTTCTTTCAATATTTCCGGTCAGGTGGAATGCGGGCACTGATATTACAGCACCAGCCTACTGGGATATTATAAAACGCTTAAAGATATTTTCTGCAAACTGCGCAGTAGAAAACACAGTTTGGTCAACTGACTGTGGAAAGTACCATGCTCCCGTGTTTTTATTGTTTTTTTTGCGCTACGTCCATGCACGTTCTACCCTGAATTTGATTCATATTTCGCTCTATATAACAAGAGCTCGTAACATTTTTGTTCATTTCATCAAATTTTATAGATTTATATGGGTACATACACTCCGGTCAGATTTACATCGTCGTGAAGCTCCATTTGTTTGGCATGTAATTTATCAAAAAAACGTAGAAGAAAGTCGATTTAGACGAAGTGCGAAACGTTAGCCTCTAACATGTGGAAAAGCCTTTTTTTTTTGTCGTGCAGTTGTAAGAAAAAAATAACTTGTGTCACAGGTGATAAACATGCAGAACGTAAGGTGTAGAACCAATGAATTTTACAGGACTGTTTCAACCATGCAAGCGAAGGCTTCAGTTATGCTGCTGATGTTCGTCTGTTCATCGAGTATAATTCATCAAAGTGAATCAAGCACCACAAGTGGCCCGACAAAGCAATTTTATGATGTAGGTATTGCTACTGTTATGTATGTAACAAGGTAGTCCACAATTCAATCGTGCACTGATGAGACTGACTGAATTACTGGAACTGGCAGACATGGGAAAAGTGAATGGCACCAAACGTGCACGCAAAATAATTAAAACCAGATTCGTATTTCAGACATGACTGAAGGCGTGATCAAAATGACAACATAATAGACAAAAGCATCCGCATTTCCTTTCATGAGAAGAATAGAGCTGAATATTGTCACGAAATAATTTTTAATAAAAATAATCGGTTTTTGTTATCAATGTTTGGAATATGCAGAAGGAAATCTTAGAACCCTACGCCTCACTTTTATATTAAAAAAAGCCTAAACTATAAATTTTCTACAGAACAACTTTTAATAAAATCATAATCAGCACGTTTATGAGAAGTTTCAACGCATCTAACGCTGCATTAGAACTAACTTAATACAAATTAAACTCATGCTCACAGTAGTTAAAGGCTACCCAAATATTAGATTCAAGTGACTATTTATAGAAGCAGTGTCTAAAATAATTTATAATTAAAATACTCCAACTTTCTACGAAGTATGAGTGTAAGGTTGTAATATATTTTCTATATTGTAATAATATAAGTCAATAATATTTACTTTAATGTAAGATTTCTCATATATTGCCAAAATGTAGGTTTGTAAGATTTCGAATACATTTTTATGATGAACGCTCGATTACGGAGGGGTTAAACCATGCAAACTTGAACAGCTCTGTCAGGGTCGTTTTTCAATGCGGTGCGCAAGTTCACCTGCTTCTTTTGCAGTTGTTGTGGTGACGTCACAACACCGAGCTCTGATTGGCTCTGATTGAAGGATAGTGGGTAGACCTCAAAGGAAAGCTGCTTTGAGGTTTACCAACTGTCCTTCAAACAGAGTGAATAAGAGCCTGTCGTTCTGACGTCACCACTACCCCTGTGCGAGATGCAGATCAGCTTGCGCTCCGCATGGGAAACATATCGGCGTTCAAAAAGCGTTGAATTGCATGTTGAATTCGCAAATGAAATGTTGTCGACCTATTTTTGTACATTCTAAGATTTCATTTATATAACATGCTTGTAAGGAGGCGACGTATCTCATAAGTTACATGGCCATTCTAAGGTCGTCTTGAAGTTTAAAAAAATATATAAAAATTCTTGGCACATTGTTTTTTTTTTTTTTTGCTCGTAAGCAAACATATACCGATTTAAAAAAAGAGCTAATAGAATGTCTTGAAACCCTACCAAAAGCAACTAATGCTTGGAGTAGCAAGTTTCATTTTGGGAGTCGTATGATGACCATGATACAGTGGTTATTGTGATGTTCGAAGTGAACAAAAGTTGTATTTATGAAAGCTTCGTGAATTATGTGTTTATGTCTTTTGCGATGAAAAATGACATACTATGAGGTTCAGCTTTAAACAATTGTTCATTGAGCAGTGAATATCTGCTAAATAAGCACTGATAATTAGAGTTTTGTTAAATCTTTAGAGAGTGAATGTGAGTACCGCGGGCCCAAAATGGCATAGATTTATTTTCTTAATGAATAGTTTCCAAGAATTATCAACCTACCCAGCACTAATTAAAAGCACTAGCTCCGTCATATGTGAGGAGCAATTGCTAAGCAGCTCGTGCACAGTAAATTGTTTTTTTATTTACATATTGTTGCATTTCAAGGATATGGAAACAAGGCCGATTCTCACATATCAGTGCTACCAAAGTGGCAACAGCATTGATTCACCGAATTCTATCAACTACACCATTCTCTGGGACGGGACTGATTCAAGCACTACAGGCGCCAATGGCACCACGTGGTCCGCGGTAGCAGGAACGCCTAACTCCTACACCATGTACGTGCATCGGAATTGTCATTGGAAAGTGTAAGGGTAGAATAAAACAAAACAATATCGATGATCACGATCCGCTGGTGAGCGACGGCTTAATTTATTTCATGTCCACTCCTCAAAATGCTGAGAAAATGATCGATGGTAGTAAAGCAAGTGCGGAAGGTGAGTTGACTTCTGCGAGGTTCGAAAGCTTTGAATATAAATGCTACAATGATTAAGTGGCTTAACAGGTTTTGTAGCCTCGATTAGCTATATACACAGAATAAATGTTCACGGATATTTAGGCACAAATGAGTGAGATAATCGGAAGTTTTCGTAATAGTTTTGAGCGCTGTAGTACGTAACCCTCTCTACAACCCGCTACGAGATGCCAATTTCTGCAGACAGCGCAGATGGAGCGCACACGAGTAAACGGCGTCGTCATTACGGATAGCTTAGCCGTGGAAGTGGGGGGAGGGGGGACAGTTTACGAAAACGTTTTGTTGCAGTGCTAGCCGTGAATCGGAGAAACCTGAGAGAGAATTTACAAAGATATCCTTGTCAAGATTAAAAGCAAAAGCAACAAGGTCAAGGTTTGGTTTCAATCAAATTTCGTACACTTCTTTTAAGTTTTGTGCCACTTTAGTAGGGTTAAACAGCGTTTCAAAGTGCTTCTTTGATGTATGTACCTGGCGTTCGAATGTTTCTTGACTCCTATTTCAATATATCGAAGGTGTATATTTGCTCGATTAAGAACAGTAGAACAATCTGCCCTAAAGTGTTGATTCGTGTCTTGAACCTAATGCCATGACATAAGTTCACTAAACAATAAAATGAATTTTTTTAGGGGCAGCTTAACAACCCATTACGACGCAGCAAGCGGTGTCGGAAAACTTGAAACTTCAAGTGAGTAAAATCACCAGACAAAATCTTGAAAGTGAACTTTTCGTTATCTATAGGGGGTTGGAACGATTAAAATAGAAACAAAAAACTGTAATCATCTAAAATTTGAAAAACCAACGTTTCACGGCCAGTTCGGCTCCTTGATCACGGGTTACAATATCTCGCGGACAGTTTGTACGGTCATGACCCAATTCAGGTATGCCTTAGTGTTCTTTTTAAAACCGCGATGCTCGCACTAACGCAATTTGTATTTAATTTAGACCTCTATTGTCCAAGATGTTGAAATAGAGCTGTTTCAAGTGTTTAAATATATGTACATCGAGTCTATCTCGTGTTCTTACGTATCCCTTCACTAGGTGAGCATGGCCCTCTTTTAAAAGAAGGCATGTGTTGTGAGCGATGTGCCTAACCCTTCGCAGCCCGTTTGAGTGTTACTTCTTGACCTGTGGTCAGTGGCGTGACAAGGGGCGGGGGGGGAGGGGTGCGGACGACTCGGGGAGGGCAAGGGCGGGGGGGGGGGGGGGGGGGGGTATCGCGGTGTTTCATCGCCCAAGCTGCCGTTGACCCAAGTGACGCCACTGGGTGAGTGCAGGCTCGCACTAGAGGTGTGGCGGCTCACTACCTGAATATATTGTTTTTTGCTGCGTTCATCACAGTCTCTGTCTGGCCGGTCGGCCTGCCCAAAACATCCTCACAAAATATTTGACAAGGTGAACATGCGTTGCAAACTAAGTTAACAACCTCGTCAAGGCATGCTTAAGAGAAATTGAAATTATTACTGTAATTCAGACACTTACTCTGTATCCGATGTTTAAACAGACTAAAATTTAACTCGTTTGTTAACGAAGAATAATGTAGCTGCGAGGATATTTTCGCCGTGAAACCGGAAAATACCTTGGCAGGGATTCACAGATCGATGAATAAAACAGACTAAGTAAGAATTTCGATAAAATCATCACTAAATCTAGAGCAAAAGATAATTACAGAGAAAAATGAAGCTGCTAATATTTGCTACATTTATTGTCCCCGATGGCCCTATTCCAGCCGTCCAGGAAGACGTGACAGTTCTCCAGCCATTCCAAGGCAATGCCCTGTATTTGAAGATTGGTAAGTGAAATACTAGTTAACATCTGATATGAATCTCTAAAGAACAGAAAAAAAAGTAAAAAAAAAGCAAAGATATATTAGTTAAGGCGCAAGACCTGGCTGTTTTTCATGTGGTGCGAATGTCAGGAGCAGTATTACAAGGAACGACGAGTAGTGCTAGGACTGGTAGTCCCGCACTCAGGAAAAAATAAATTAGGGTAAAAGCGGGAACCGCTACTCACAGGAAGTCATATATGTAACATAAATCTTCACTTATGTTCTTTTTTCGCCCGAGTCACACAGCTAGAGTAAAATTTCGCCTGAGATTTGAAATAAGCTTCCTTAGAAAATACTAATCAGCTTATCAGATGCCCGATGAAGATGCTTCCGAGGCTTAATGAGTCGGGACTTGCAACGGGATTGTGCTGGTAGCATGATATTTTTTTAAGTATCGCGTCATGCTGCAAATAGGTACTGTATACCTTTTGATTTATATACATGGTCGGTGATATTCTTCAAACTTGGCTTAGCATAGCAATAGGCATGGCTGAACTACTAACCCAAATAATATGGAGGATTTTATATATATATATATATATATTTCTGTTTGTTAAACAAAAGGTGTTCCGAGTCAATTCCAACGGCAAGCCACGTTTCAGTGTTTGAAGAAGAGGTCCTGCTCCGAATAGAGTTTGACTGCATAAAACGAATACTCTTGACGCTCGCTAAAGCTCTCATTTGAATAAAGAGAACAATACGTGATATTTGTTTTCTAGACTACCTGCTCAATCTGGACTTTTGTCTGTTGGCAAAGTCCCGTGATTACAAATTACAAAAAATGTGAACGGAGTACCCTATTAAGTTTGATAATCGACCTGATTCTAACCGAAGGCGCCCATGAAACGTACGGTCGGCGTCATGATAAGAATTCAGTAAACTTGGCCTCCAAGACGCACTCGTTTTCTTGCACCGGGCTACGGCTGCGCGTGTGATTCAGTGTTAAGCAAAACAGAAAGCGTGCGCTCAAGCAGATAATCTACTTAATTATTAAATGCCACCGACAATAGGTTTTAGCTGCTCGCAAATGAGGTCATCCAATTAGCATTCTGAAACTACAGGTTTATAGCGGACAGAGAATAATAATATTATTGATAAGAACAATTATAATACTTTATTATTACGTGCAAGAAAACGGCCGAACTCCTGATATGAGGGAGCCTCGTCACCGCGCAAAGTACACAACACGCATGTAGAAAAGCAATATCAATATGATGCGTAAATTAAACCTTCATTTTTACGTTTATTATATACATAATGTATAAAATCATCTGAAGACAAACTGTGTGAATTAGCTCTTTCTCATGAGGACAATGTTAAAACAAAAATTAGTGTCTGCTGCAACGAAGAGGCACGTGGAAGCAAACAGTTCTATTTGGGCATTAATAATTTGTGCAATAATAAAATGTTTCGCGCAACTCTTGGAATGAATAACGTTTGTAAGCTGAAAGTCTCAAGTATGAAGGCAAAGTCATTAAAAAAACTTTCGCCCAAAATATCGATCGTAAACAATTCGAATAAACTTCGTTTGTACTTTTTTTCAATTTTCAATACACGAGTTGCTGTCAGAGGATTCTACTCCATGCTGGCCAACTCAAGGCGAGAACGAATCGAACTATAAAATAAGCGAATAATACACAATCGACGAAAACATTCCTTGGTCAGAGGAGTAATCATGCCCAGCAATCTTTCTATTAAACTAACAATTTGAGACATACTAAAGTGAGCAATATGGAAGTATTAATTGGGGAGACCATTCAGAGCTATAAGACTCAAAATGACGCAAAAAAAAAACAATAAAAAAACAGAACCACAATGATTTTGTTGGGTAACTATAACTGTAGGTGTGGTTTGGCGATAAGTGTAAAGGCATAAAAAATTACAATAACTTGGACATTTTTTTGTGTTTCAGTTATCACCAGCAAGGACAACCTTGAGGTCTACAAGATATATGATGTGGACTTTAAATGCAAGAATGCAAAGACACTCTTAAAAAGAGTTTGTCCGCAGCCCTGCAGCTGGAAACTGACTCGAGAGATCTAAGAAAGTTTGAAAGAGCTGAACACACTTCGATTTTATATACTTTTGCGGGGTGCTTTGACTTCTTATATTAATCAAGATGACTACGTACGTAAGGTCGCCTAAATGAAATTCAAATATGTTTTGCATATGAAGCTCTTTTTGTCAACTTTCATCTGACAATGTGGTTCTTAATATAAATTTTATTTTATTTCAGAAATAAATTGCGTGCTTGATTTCAACTCAAAATATCCACCCTTTTAATCGGTATTTCTGACTGATCAAGGAAGTTCACTGATCTTGAACGCCTACATTCTAAATATTACGTGACACTGAGCAAGCTGATTGCTGGCTGTTTTTTCTAAGCAAACAAATGAATTTAGAAGTGATATTGTAACCCCGGCGTTCTTCTGGTTATCATATCGGTATTGAACCAGCTTGATCGCTCACTTGCTTTCGTTTTAACAATGACGTCTTCGTTTCAACTGAAGAAAGAACGAAGTGCAGAAACGGATTATAACAAAAATGCGAAATCAGCGCACTTCAAGGGTCGGTCAAGCAAATCGAAACATTCTTACTCTCATGATAATGCAAATAATGCAAAGGTGCAGATGAACTGGACAAGTATAAAAATAATTATCCTTGGTGAGGTGGAACAAGGGGAACCAAAGACAAACACAAATCTCCACACACAGCTAGGTGACTGGTGCGCGACCGAAAAAATCCGCCTGGTCCTGGTGACAGCTGATAAAACCCATCTGTTCTACTGACATCAAACTTCTGGTTCGCTCAGTTGGCAGAGCGCTCCACTGGAAATGGAGAGGTCTCTGGTTTGATACCAGGCGGAAGATCTTTTGGTCGCGCACCAGTCACCAAGCTGCTTTGGGAGATTTGTGTTTGTGCTTTGTCCCCCTTCTTCCCCTTCTCCAGGGACTATTATTTTCTTACTATCGTGATGGTTTCCAAAATAAACATGGTCAACAGATGCTTTTCTAGTAACAAAGTTACACTGACTTTGAAATTTTCTTTAAGTGTTGAGGGAACCATGGGGTTCCCTCTATCCCTATCCAGGCCTAGCTTCGAGCAGGCCGTGGGAGCCGTCGTCACCAATGGCGTCGGCCTCCCGAATACAAGGAACCACGAGGCCGAATTCCCCGAAGGGGCCGGCTCTCCCTTGCCCATTTTGGGTGAACGCGCCTTCGGCACACCCTTGAGAGTTATAATGGACGCGACTGCTAGCGGCCTCCCCGGGCGCGTCCATTCTCCGAGGCTACATAAGCTGGCCCCGAAGGTGGGCGGCGTGGGCCAGAGGGGGGAGGAAGTGGCCGAGTAGGCTAACGCGTCTCAGCTCGGAGCGTGGAGCGAAAGCTTGCGCTGGGAACCTCCTGGGTTCGATCCCCGCCGCCCCCGCCCGTTTCGATCTGGATGAGTTTCGTACCGGCACGCGTTCGTGTGGTCACTACTGCGTGATGCAAGTTAAAAATCCCAGGTTAGCGGTTGTACCGGCCTGGCTAAATTTCTCATCTACAGCTAAGACACCGATTACCCGTTGAGGCGCATCTCCATCAAGGCTGTATAAACATAAAGAGCAAGCCAATTTTTTTTTTGGGCCAGAGGCTCTCGTCGGCGGAGCCCCTGCCTCTACGGAGCTCGGTTTTTCTTTGTGGGTCTCCGACTTCCCGTGAATCTGTCTAATGCGGCAGCGCGGGAAACCGACCGGGTGATACTGGCAATTGAGCCAGCGCCCAGACTTTTCATTGTCTAAGAGCGAAGCGTGCTGACATTGCAGTCAATAAACACGTCTTTATCCGGACCCAACGAACCCTCTGTGTTGCTAAGTGGTACCCCTCACCAAAAGGGCGAATCCCACGTTTGGCGCCCCAACGTGCGGCTCTCCGTGGACTGCAAAAACAGCAGCATCCATCTCCTTTCGCTAAGATAGCGAACCAGGTCAATTTCCGGCCTTGGACTTTGTGGACGGAGGGAGAGGCGAACGCCCGACACCCGCTGCCACTCAACGGCTTAGTGGCCACGTCAGCCACACAAAGACACAATGAACAAGTGTCTCGGCCGAACGCCTTCCCATACGGAGGTGACTCAAAGCCCGGAATGCGTCCGAGGCATTTCCTTTCGGGACGACGCCAGCCTACTTCGCTGGGAAAAGCGCACCTGCGCTTTTCGAGGTCAACCCCGTTCCCGAACAAAGTACGGTGACGCAACAAGAAGCAAGTGTAGCTTTTTGCCTTCGAGACGGCTCGCGGGGCCCACCTAGGGTGGACACCCCGACGGCGCACAAACTAAAAGCGTATCTCGGAGCGAGAAAATGCGCTGTGCCTGCATCGCCCACTGCTAGATTACGCAGCGAGGGTGATTGCGAACAACACCGGTCCCAGCCTAGCGAGGGTGCGGAGACCGCCGTGGTGCCCTTCGTCGCCGCGTCGACGGACCAGTAGCCATCAGGTTGACCAAGCGACCCCCGGAACAAAGGACCCCCAGGAAAACTGAGTGAGTCATAATGATTTCCTTTTTACTCCGTCTTTCCTTCCCGCTATCAAGGGACAGAGGACTGGCGTGACCATGGTTTTCGGCAACTAGATTTTAGTATGCTCCGTTTACCCGCGATCGACTTCGGCCAAAAGTCAGTGAGTGTCGCACGCAACAATGACGTTAGGAACCCTTGAGGGCCACCTATCGAGTTGCAACCCCTTAAAAGCGACGTTAAATGTGAAAACGCCGCGGGGTCCGGGAGCAGTTCCATCGTGTTACCGGGCAGTGCAACAGGTTTAACAGCGTCCCGGGATGATTGCGTGTCCGATTAAGGTGACCGCCATGCGGTCACTGGGCGAGATCGTGAACCACGGCACTCGAGGTGTTCGTTGGAAATCGACGGTAGCACCGATGAGTTTTTGACGCTCAGCAGAACGATCCGGGGTGTAAATATGTGAATAGTTGTAAATATTTTCGCGGACTCTGCGGAGTCGGGCGGTGCGTCCGCCGGGCGGTACGCTCGCCACTAACGTCGTTAAGGAACTCGTATTGTTGCAGACGGGCTTTGGCAGCCGGGCAGCGTACTCGCCGGGTCGAGCAACTCGTGTTGTTGCCGATCGGTGCCGTAAATAGTCTGGTATTGCTATTGGCACGGGGTTTCTTTTTTATTTGGGATCGGTTTCTCTTTTTGCTGATGCGGATAAACTGGTGCTACGGCGCTTGGCCTCTATGAACATTGCAGTTCAAGGGGGCTGTCCCGCGCGGCTGACAATTCGGTGCTCTCCTTTGTTCGCGTTGGCCAGGGCAGCACGCGGCTCCAAGACTTTTCGAAGTTAGGTCGCTGTGCTATACCTGGCCACGGGCATTTGTGTTTTAGCCTAAGGTAAAAGCTAACATGTTTGAAAAATAACAATTTTGGCGAGCCTGCCCGATTGCAGCCCTGCATCGTTTCAATATCACAAGAAAGGACAGGGTGGTGTATTTGACACTTTATTGCGCCCGCAAATCGAAGCGATTAGGCATCGTTAGCAAAAGCAGCTACAAAGAACTTTGCCTAGTCGATCAGTCACCAACAAATCTATGGTACGGGGTGACACGAGTCAGCTTGGTATGTGGACATCCGTGTTCACATTAAGCGGAGTCGTGGAACTATTTTCACAATAACTTCGCGAGCCGAGCCAGTGCGATGCACGTGACTCACGGCAGAAAAGACACTTTTGTCTCTGCCTCTTTTTATCTCTGGGTCCTTGAGCACCCAGGGATTGGTCGAGTGTCCCAGTTGGACGGCTCGACCTTGCTCGAAATTTCCGAGGTTTCTTGGGGAAAGAAACGGTAGAGGGGGCAGAGCGCAGGTTGCATTCCTGTACCAGGCGGGTGTGAGTCATGGCGTGGGCCCACGAGAGGGACAACAATGCCGGGGCAGCGTCATCATTCGCCGGGGCAACGTCATCATCATCGAGGCTGCCTGTCCCCCTGCCGGCCGGAAAGAGTTTTTCACTTCCGCTGTGATCAAGATGGCGTCACGTGTCCTCCTCCTGCCTGGTTCCGTCTCCTACCCTTGGAACCTGGAGCTGGGGCTTCGCTGCCATTCATGGGCTTTGAGTGTCATTCCCCGACACACTTCGCCGTCACGAGACCCTGCTGCTGCCCCAATCTGCGGATTCCCGTCCCGATGCCTGGAGCCCTCCTGCAAGCCACACGCACTGCGGGTGGGCGCTCGTGCCGACGCCAACGACGGGGCGCGTCGTCAGGGTACGCTCCAGCGTCGTGATTCCTGGACTTCGGCCAAGACATCGTCCTGTCCCTGCGCCATGGTGAGCCACGGACTTCAGCGCCGGGAGCGTCCCTGAAGATATTTCATTTGTTAACCCTAGCATGTGGGGGTCGGTACCGGACGTGGTAGTTTTTTTTTTTCGGTTTCGTTTTGTTTTTTATTTTGTTTTTGAGAGCTGGTGGGCCGTTTTATTTTTTGGCCTACCTTAGCCTTGAGAAGGGGGGAATGTGGGAACCATGGGGTTCCCTCTATCCCTATCCAGGCCTGGCTTTGAGCAGGCCGTGGGAGCCGTCGCCACCAATGGCGTCGGCCTCCCGGATACAAGGAACCACGAGGCCGAATTCCCCGAAGGGGCCGGCTCTCCCTTGCCCATTTTGGGTGAACGCGCCTTCGGCACACCCTTGAGAGTTATAATGGACGCGACTGCTAGTGGCCTCCCCGGGCGCGTCCATTCTCCGAGGCTACATAAGCTGGCCCCGAAGGTGGGCCAGGGGCTCTCGTCGGCGGAGGCCCTGGCTCTACGGAGCTCGGTTTTTCTTTGTGGGCCTCCGACTTCCCGTGAATCTGTCTAATGCGGCAGCGCGGGAAACCGACCGGGTGATACTGGCAATTGAGCCAGCGCCCAGACTTTTCATTGTCTAAGAGCGAAGCGTGCTGACATTGCAGTCAGTAAACACGTCTTTATCCGGACCCAACGAACCCTCTGTGTTGCTAAGTGGTACCCCTCACCAAAAGGGCGAATCCCACAGTGTTTACATTGCTT